TAAAATTTATATTACTTTAAATGTGACATTACATTACCAATACAAATTTTCAAAACAGTCATTAGGGCTTACTCCTCATTAAACCTTAATTGATGGTTGTTGAACACTGCGTTTGTTGTTATAAGTATCTGTCAGCAAATTTCCCGGCAAATTTGACAGGTTATAAAACCGGCTGTTACCATTAACCATGGCCCGCTGTAACCAATGCTAACAGCGGGTAATGGTAAATACTTTTAAATTATTACAAACAATTACTATAAAACGAGTTCCGTAACATCATTATTAATTAGAGTGTGAAATACCTGTGTTTAATTAATTGCCACTTGAATTATTATTTGATGTTGATGATTCAACAATACATATTGGAGACAAAGAATCTACAGCCAACGACACGTCAGCTTATGCAAAACTGTATTCCTTCAAATGATTGGAAGTCTTGACACATTGACTTTTAAGTTCAAAATTATTATATATTTTTTGGTAATCTAATATGCTGATGTGTGTATATTGTTTAGTACAGGCGACAGTATTAATTAATAACCTTGTAACGAATCGATTTTATTTAAACGCCCATGAATCTTTGTATTTAACCTTAGTTACTTCTGGTATGTAGATTTTTACAATGCAATCGCAGATAAGGGACAATATTATTGTCATGTCATTAACATTTGTGTCACGTTAAAACTGGATGCCATTGTGATTTTTTATTTTATTTGGGAATAAACTGATATCAACAAACAAACCAAGATCGACATAGACTTTAAGTTATTTACAATGTCTATAATACTTAATTAGAAGTAGTTTATTTAAAAAATCTATTTTCTGGATTTGTAAAGTTACACATAAATATATGTCCAGATCATTTTATTGCTTAGATTTTAACTAGTTAAAGCTTCTGTTATCCAAATATTTAACAACGAAAGTACTTCAATGATCAGATCTGAGACATCAAAGATGATCACACTTTCATACTGGCTTTTCTGATTTAATGTTAGGTTAGGTTTCTATAGCAAAATAATCTGTTACTTATTATTAAGTCAAAAAATTCCTAAGAATTTTTTTATTTCGGTACAGTATTGTAAATATGATAAACATTATATTTCCAGGATGATTTACACATATAAAATTTTATTTAAAACAAGGGTACTAATTGTTTATTTGTTGTTCTGTGTATTAGGCACTCCATTCAGCGGGCTCAACTTCACTTGACTGGCAAATAGTGTTGTTTACAAAGCGACACTTAATCTATCGATAAAGTCGTGATACTATAGTAGCCTTGCAAAATTGTTATTAAAGAAATTATATTTGATACAACCGAAGAAAGTTATGAAATACTATAGCAAATATTGTTATAATTTTTCATTATCATTTTGGCTTTGCAACGGCCGCTGCCGAGGATAGGTCTTCCCTGTGGATCCCCATAGTCACAGTCTTGTGCTGCCTGCATCCAGCGGCTTCCAGATACCTTAATCAGATTTATTAGGTGTCTGTTGCTTTCAAATCCCAAAATATATTGCACTATAATATACTTGTAATATAACACATGTGGGTGTTATGTGCAGAATTACAAGAACTACCTTTCATTTTACTTCAATACTTTATTTCACTATACTATTAGAAATGTCTATAGTAGGTTTATCGATAGAAATTATCGTTATGACAACACTGTTGGAAAGCAGGTTCCGAAAGATAGAAAGTTACACCGACTGTATCGGGCCGATGCTAAACAATATAGTGTCGCATTCGATGCAAGGTCGTCCATGTTTGTTTCATAGAATCTAATCGTTTAACGTTTAAATGAAACATAGCTGTGAAATATTCAAGGATAAATACTGCTCAGTAAATCTTGATAAAAGTAAAACAAAAACACCTACAAAAGAAAGAAAACTTAATTTAGAAACTAAAACTCTATGATTGTTCTAAATTTAAAAATTGTATCGGTGATTTCGCTTACAATATGGACGTTTATGCAATTGTTTGTCTGTCTTTGAGAAAATAAAAATTGATTTAATTTACGTTTATCATAGAAAAATATCAACCGACATGAATAAAATAAAATATAATACTTTACATATTTGTAATAGCATCATGGAATGTTATTGAAGTGTTGAAAGTATCTATTTGATAATATCTTCTAAATTATGAAAAAGGAAGCGAGATATCGTAACAAAGTAAACATTAGATTAGACTTTGTTGAGGAAGTTCGGTTAAATGGGAAGGTTTGTGGTTTCCTTCGAAATTCAATAGTAGGAAATCGAGTATTATTATAATATATATGTATTTAGCGACTACAATAAAAAAAAACAGTGCTTAGAGCTATATTTGAAATAGCAACACTAAATATAGGATGTGTTGTGAAATGAAAAAGAACGTTGAATGGATCGACGACAGTTCAAAACACATTGTGATAATATCAGTAAGTATTACGTAAGATAATCCTAACGGTGAGCTCGACTATAAAAGGATCCAGCCGATAGGATTTATTCTCAAAACCAAATGTCAGCAACGTTAGTATTATACCTTTGATTTATTACAATATTACTAATCTTAAAAGAACGATCGACACGAATGGAATATCGAAACATATTTAGACTTACGTTAAACTTATGAATTTAAATCAATTTGGAAACTACATTCAGTAAAATCTATATTCTTGGACCTTAGCACAATTGTATAACATTTACATAAACAACTGTTGTTTCTTCTTCAAAATCAACAAATATTTGAACATTTGCCAAAAGCAGACCGACAATGGTGCAGAAAAAAAGAATCTTGTCAGACATTACATAATTTATTCTCATCAACTTAGGACAATGTAGGTTCTTTGTAACGTTCAGTTTGCCAAAGTCTTTTTTATTATATCAAATATCTTCTAATTTTGGACGGTCTTTATCCTAGTTTATGTTTACGGAGGTAGAATACGTAAAATAGGACTACCTTTCCAAAATATTTTGAAAGACTAATCTCTCCTTTTTTGTGACTTAAAAGGCCATGGTGTCACCGAACTTGAAAGAATGACGCGAAGGCATGCTTTAGTGATAAATCTTACGCCTTATAATACAACTAATGCTCTCTCTATTTTTGTCTTCGAGGTATTTTACATTTTTATCTATACAAAGACTTATTTTGAAATGCAACAAGTTTTAGTCCTGTCAGTGATAATTTCGGATTTCTCGGAATAAGACCTGCTTTTTAATCTTACCTGTTTAATGCAAATATTTATTATATAAATGGAAAATCTGTAAGCGTGGTTTGAATATATCACTAGGGTTTGCATAAATATTAAATTTACACTAAAATTTCAAGTTTTCAAACCACTTTCACGACCGATTTGTGAAGAGCACGTTAGTTTGCTTATGATTTCTAATAAATAATTCAAGTTGAACTTTCGGCAATTTTACATTTATCATTTCGATTAATATTACTTTCTTTTTTAGGTTAATTTACATCGATGATATCAGCACGTTCGCTGTCGAGAACGTTGCTTTGATTGATCTCATTGAAAGATTGAACGGTGCTACCGAAATTTCAGCAGTCGAACTTAATAAGGAAGTAATCATTGATATGTGTAACAGTGACCTCGTTGCGGAAGGCTGATTCCAGTGTTTCGCAGTAACTGCGACTGGTCTGGTGACTTTTCCACTCAGACGCATCTCAAGTTGTACGACCGCGACATTGACCCGGCATACATGATCGTTCAATGCACCGGTTGTCGCAGGCTCTTTGTTTATATCCTGTAAGATTTACTGGTTCATTGTACCCCATTTGCTATGAAGTTGTGAAGCTTAGAATACAATGTGTTGTTGAACATAATTCTGTTATTAGCAAACGTGTCAAACGGACATTAAACTCAGTTTCTATGAAGTTTGAACACGTTAGTTTAAATCCTAGGGTGATCATCAGCTGATTTTTCTTCTAATATAATTTACTGCTATCTAGTTTCATGAATGTCTGGTTCATTTTTGTTTATATAATTAGTGGAACCATATTCTACACATGTATTGTAGTTTCAATTTGTGCCATTAGCTTCTAAGCTGCTGTATTAATAAAGCAGTAATATAAATATGTCGTGCAAGGTACACATTTGCTATTGCCAGGTATAAATAAAAGTGGGCACAGAGCAAGACGGCAGCGCTTTCGTAAGTCGTTAATGACATTCCACTTGGGTTGAGCTCAGGGTGCGTCAGAGCGTTCGTCACAGTTCTGCAGGGTATGCGTTAATGACTACATTCAAGATGCACAATATGGACACCAGAAACTGAGCAATTTCCTGAAATACGGGTTTCATGGTGACGTAAAGACGGACGCCCGCGCTTTCAGCGGCGCCTGCCGTGGACCCATTTTAGGACATGACTAACGGAAATTCGACTCCTCGCTCTCTGGCCCGTTCTCTCCCGTGGGACGTGCGCTGCGCCCGTCCCGCTCGCACGAAAAGCTCCAAGAAATCTTTTAATAGTGTCCACGGCCGCGATCTACTTTCAACTAGCGGCGGGAAATGTGCATGAAGAACTTAAATTTTTTGAATGTACGCGCCGATTTTCTTCCTTTAGCAGTTTTTGAAGACTTTGTACTACCTTATGGAGATTTATTAATGAAAATTGTTTTAAATGGTTTCAAATCCATAGCCGTTTTATAAATAGCCGGCAACACTGGAAAAGATAATCTCGTGGAAATTTAAAACTACACACTTCGTTTCAATGGCACGGTTAGGCTGCACACTAAAAATAGATTAAAACCCGAAATATTATCACTAATATTTTTGGAAATAAATCGTCGGCATAGGATCAGTTTGGACAGGTGTCGATACGTAGCGTTATTGGGATTTGTGTGAATTATGAAAAACTGTTGTTACACAAACATGACTAATAATGTTATTCAAGATAAGGTTTTTCCTGTCGATACGGAATTGTGTTTTGCCATCGCGTAGGATATATTTTTCATACTTGCTGGTCTGTTACGTTTTCATTCACCTACCCCTTTTCACCGTCAATGAGACTGACCTTTTTCTGTTGTTTCTCCCAAGCCGGGTCTAAGAGACCCTCGCGCTCCCATTCCTCTTCTTGTTCCATGTACCCGTCCCCGTACTCATAGTTATTTGTTATCACCCCGTTGTCCATCATCATGGTCACCGCACTGACCGTCGATTTCGATGTTCGTTCGAGCCTATGACCGCGAACTCGCGTGTGATTGTTCGCACCGCGCACTGCAACAAGCAGCCGGCCGCGCGCCCGCTGCAAGGAGACTGGCGCACGAGCGCTCGATGCGGCGGCGTGAGGAACTTAGCCGTACGTTCCGTTTTACGTAAGCGACTGTCATTTTATGTAGAAAAAAAAAATATTGCAGATTTAAATGTTATCTAAAATATGACACAGGCTTATTAATAATAACCATAAGTAAACAAGTAGTTTTTTTATGTTGTTTTGTTACACGTTTATGTTTTTAAATTAAAACTAATACATACTCCTATTTCCTAAACACGCTCTTCACAAATCAAAATGCTTCTCTAAGGTAAGGTTTTTATTTTTTAGTTTACTTGCTATTTGAATCAGATAATCAAATTTTTGACACGAAAAAAAATTATGAATAATTTATGAGATCTCCTGAGAGCCCATTATTACTCTCAAACAAATATTTACTTATAACTTATTTAATAACTAGAGAAGTAATTCCATACAACAGACGCGCTAAAAAGAGTAGCACTTTTCCGAAATCAGGACGTAGCTTTGCAAATAACATTTACTATATAATGAATGGAAAAATGGGAATATAAACAGATTCCATTCGAAAGAGCAGTAAGTATTTTAATTTTATATCATCGGAGATCATGGTAAAAACGTGATTTCATTGTAATTCCAATATAGTGGACGCAGGCCAGCTTGTGAAAGATATAAAGTCCTAATGAAATCTTTTTTATAATGATTACATTTTAAAATTGAAGCATGCCAATTCCACAAGAACATTTTCCTCTTAAAGAAAATTTATGAGCATTGTTCTTAAACAATATCAATATAGAATTTTGAATGTAAACTTCAAATATAATATTCGCCAGGACACTTTTTTATATTCCCTGTTTAATTTTTTTTAATATTCTCTATTTAAAAAAGTTACTGAAAACCTTACCACCAATTGTAAGAGATGTAACTTAAATTCATAATTTACAATAGAAGAATCAAAAGCAAAATTGATTTATTTAGGAGAGGGGGAACACACTTTGCTTTTAAAGTCAGTTTTTAAGACTAAAATATTTGTCCAAGTCCATAAAACATCAAACAAAAGTTCAATTTTAGGTATTTTCAAAAAGTCGTATCTCGAAAACTAACGAACTCAGCACCTTGACACTTTAAAAAATTTAAACAACTTTAGCATCTTTCTTTGTGTATGAAAAAAATATAAACAAAATTTGCCTAGTCATCGATACTAAACTGAGCTATATAATTAATTAAAAAAAGATATTTAGATAAATTGAAGCCACGTCAAATAAAAAGAAAAGGCTCCCATATACTCGTAGTTGGGAAAATTTACAGTGTATAGCAGTGGCAGCACTTACAAGAAAATGTCATAATTTCATTTGTGATGAATTAATACTGAAACTAGCTTTAATTTTGTTTTTATTGCCAAAAATAAAAATTTAAATGTGAATCGTTTTTCATATTATTTGTATTCGTAAAAGAGAATCGTATTTTATCCACTGTGTTTCTTCGTTTTTGCTGAACATATTTTTTGTACTTTCTCGGTGGGAGTTGAATGAGCACAAGAACACGAAGGGTTCCGTAGCGGTAACGAGCAAAAAATCACGTTTGTTGTATGGGCGCCCCTTAAATATATAATTTATTTATTTTTAAAGTTACTATATAAATACATGGTCTGTAAATATTTCAAGCCTACATTTTGTCGTTATCAATATCGAGCAAAAACATGTATGGTGCCCCCTTAAATGTTTATTTTATTCTAGTTTTAGCATTTGTTGTTGAAGTGGCAGAAATACACCAGCCGTGAAAATTTTAAGTCTACCTTTCACGTTTTATGTGCTACAGCTTGGTGACAAAATGATAGACAGTCTCAGTAATAGGATTCCCGTTTTACACTTTGAGTACAGAACCATAAAAAAGTTTGATCTGAGTTTGATATTTAATGGATGTCGTTCTTGTGTTCCGAGGGCGCTAAGTTTCATTGAGCTGGAGGTGAACTGATGTCTCTTTGTCATTATATCGATTTCTTCAAACTTTTCTCCTAACCTACAATATAAGTTGTATTCTTCAAAATTCACAGGTAAAAATAATTTTCTGTGTTCAAATAGAAGGAGGGGGCCAAGATCCGGGATCGAGCAAGGAGCCTAGCAGATACAGTAGGTTTTATTGAAATAAATCAACGTTAAATACACAAAAAAAAATTTATTCACCACATAAAATTCCACTGGATAATAATCTTGCTCATGCAAAATAACAGTTATAATTTATATGTATATATATTTTATATATGCTTTGAAGAACCCACTTATTATAACGCCAAGCAACATACACGATCACAGGGAGGTAAAATTTTGGAATAGAAAATTTATTTGATCTTAAAAGAGCTCCACACGCCATAAATTGGTGTTACTACAAATTAATCTATAGATACAGCAATTATGAGTATTATATATGTATATATGTGGACTCATACTATTAAATCAACGATAAATACCCACTAGATGGCAAAATCATGTGAGAGCAGGAAACCGCACACATTATGTCTTCATTAAGATAGCGCATGTTCCTACAACAACTGTTGCTTTTCATTTTTTTTTAATAACATATTTTATAGTTTTATTATTTTTATATTTTATATGTATTTCTGGATAAATGCATTGCTATGTTCAACAAAGTTTCACAAAATGTAATTGACCTACCCGTAAATAAATTTAAAAATCATGTAAACTCATTCTTTTATGAGTAAAGGCCATTATAAAGTTGATGATTATTTTAAGGACCGCAATGCATGACATTAAGAGCCTTCGCTTTTTTCTATAACGACTAATTATATGTATCAACCTATGTCCTTCAGACTTTGATAGTTGTGTTTATTATTGTGAAATTACATACTATTTTGGCAATGACATGATTTATGTAAATGTCATCACTTATGATAAAGAGCTGGTAAGTTTCTTTCGCTTGTTCTTCTTGACAGCTAAAAGACGTCCTGAACAAGTGGTAGGGGAAAAATTGTTTTGGACGATTCAAAAGTGCTTGAAACAAGCTTACTTGAATAAAGATATTTTTATTTCATTTCATAATGTGTTTTTTTACCTTTATCACCTTTGTTGTTTTTTTGTTACAGAATTTTAATTTTATATCGTATTATGTTGTTCAACAAAATGCTCCATTTATATTTTCCTTTATTTTAAACCAGTACTATTTTTTATTTGATTTTAACTTGCAATAATTATAATTTATCACAGACAAACCCGAGTTGTTTAACCATTCTAGTTATTAAGATACACTGTAAAAATTATGTGCGTGTAATATGATAATTAATTAACAATAATAATCAAAATAAAAATATATGTATAAAGGTATAAGAGATGAAAAATGATTCCCAGTAGCTGCCCAGAAGGCTGAGAGCCTTTTCTCTTTGAATAGCCAAACTATTAGAATGATACAGTTAGGATTGTTAAAAATATAAAATATAGTAATAGGTCAATTAAAAATAGTTTTTAATGCACTATTTCACACATATGCCATCCTCTGTCTCTATCCAATATATCGATTTTGTCTTTATGCGCAACCTCAAATCCTATAAGTGTGACAGAGAGCTGTCCTGTTTGCACATTAGAGAGCGCTACAGTCGCTGTCCTGGTCCCACATTTTATTGCCTAGGCATTCAGTCTCGATATTGAGCTATATTTAAATAGCAATCGTGTTGCTCACTTACCGAGCTTTACAGTTGAATTCGGTTTGAGCCCACAAATAACGTAAACTTTAATAGGACATATTACGCAAATAAAGCTGTGCGTAGATGGCAGCACTCTTAACAAACTAGTAAACAAATAAACTTTTTCGAACATTTTGTCTTTTTGAATTGAATGATACCTTTCCTTCTGACACTCATATATGCAACAAAACAAATTGGAAAAATATTAAATTCCTACTACACCGACTATTACTTTACTCTTTGCTTATTATTTTCTGTAAATGGTTTTTCGAATTTCATATAATGTTGTTTACTAGTTGCACTGATGCTGCAGCTTGGCGACACAAAATTTGCAGTAATACCTCCTACATTAATTAAGTTCGCGTCTTAATTCGGTCGATTGCGTACTTTTTCGAGACTGCTTACCCTGGTGAGCAGTATAACCTGTAAGCATTAATCGTGATTGATTACAGTAAATAAAGATCATGCCCATTTTGTGACAATAAAGGTGGGTAATTAACCCACATTTATTCGAAGGCATCAAGTGTTTAACATGGTACAATTATGCAAAAAGCATGCATTGGATAGATACGCGTTTACAAATTATTATATGTATGTTTTTTATTACAACAATTAACGGCATATAATTTGAAAGCTTTGAGCAAAATCGTGACGAAATCAACCTTTTTGAAAATTTCCACAATAGAAGATATAAGTTTTCTTGTATAATCTCATTAGTATAAAAAATTTACTGACGATTCAACTTTAATATTTTCTTTTTTTTTGTTTTCTTCCAGAACTTTAGAAACGTTTTAATTTTAGGCTATATATTTATATATTAACACCTATTCATTAAACAATTCATTAAGATTGCAGGCCCGCTTCACATCGTATAAAATAAAATATAGTTAATTCAGTATACAAATGGTTAACCAAAATAGAAATATCATAACAAAAGAATAATATTAAAATTATTTTCAAATTTATCATATGAGACGATAATCGAATACAAGATATTTTTTAATCTATAGTAATCATAAATTATATTTACAAGGATTATGCGAAACGGGTCTCGTTATATTAGATTTTATACAAACATATTAAATGTACCATTAACATTCGGTACAGAAAATCTCATATCATTAACAATATATTTCAACGTAAAATACATTGCGTTACCTAAAATATTACAGATATTGAGTCGAAGATAATATTATATTTATAGATTTAATAATATAAGCTACGCAGTCTGAGTTGGACACTCATTAAAAAATAAAGTTAGGATCAAGCTTACTCTAAGCACAGACTGCTTCAGTTTTTACGAATGATAGTTCTCTCACACATATTAACATATTTTTAAATATCGAAGAATATTCCATTGACAATACAGACTTTAAAATTTTAGAAACAACGAAAAATTCTAAATATACTCCAAAGACAAAATAGCTTATTTTTTCTGCATCTATTAATATTGCCTTGTTTAAAATAACATCGATATAAATTCAAACTAAATATAGATTTAAAAGCAGGCAATAAATAGGCCTCTGTGCTGTCCAATTATTCATAGTGCCATAAATGTGGCATTGAAACATAATGACGATCATTGGAAAAAATATATTTCTTGAGTTTAAAAACAACTCTAAACGTTCTTATCACTGATTTTGACAACAATGTCTTAAAATGTATGGATATATCTGTTGATTTTTTTTCAAAAATATTCATTTTGATCTTGGTCATTTTTCCAAAGTTTAAAGGTGGTATAGTCCACAACTATAACAATATTAACGATTAAAAGACTTTCCAATTGCAATGCTACCTTGATATAACAGCTAAGCAAGGATATGTATTTATAACACCTTTATAGAACCTTATTAGACACATCCAATGTAAAATAATAAGAAGATTAAAACTAACAATGCGAAAATTGTGCGATCAACTGTATAACTTATGTTTAGGACTAGACTATTAATTTAACGGAGTAGTTTTGCCGAGATGATTGAAATGGAAATATATATTCACTGTATTCTTTTCACATGTAATATTTTATATAAACATTCATAATGTTTTTACTTCGAACATTCAACATTGTCCAAAGATTTCGAGAATTAGATATAATGGATTTTCTCAATTCTACAAAGAGGTCTGAAAATTAAAATTCAATATTTCAATTGATTGTGTCGTATCGTAATTAATAATCTTCAGAATAATTTCACTTGAGTAATTTCAAGAATCAGTCAATATGATGTATCAATATAAAAATTAAACAATTATCCATCTTATCATCCTGGATTATGAACAATTTGTGATAGATTCAATAAAGTAAGATAACTGTTGAAACGGTTTTAGTTGTTCAGTCATAAATAAAACTATAGGTTTACAGTTAATTAGTCCAGATCAATCTCATTCTCACTGGCGAATCACAGAAGGAAACATTTTTGTACCTGTTGTTAAACTAAGTGTTGCCAGACAAAACGATGCATCGCAACATGGTACTAAAAATAGATACGATTATGTTGAACACATCTAGCTAGATGTAAAAAATATAGGTATCAATGAACAACAACAAGGAATAGGTATCCGAGAAGTGTACAAATATTTCTCGCACCTCTACTATAGTACATCTATAACAATAATACTTTTAGAAGGCGTCAACATACCACAATTTAAGAAGGACCCAGTCCATACACTCTTCATAATTCTATCTAATACACTGATATTCCTCACAGCTCCAAGTTTATATTCCGTAGTCGAAACTTTCGAATTCTGAGAATCTAGAGTCTTGTTTCTGCAAGCGTTGCTGGCAGGCCTCTAGGTAGCTGTCCTGGATTCTGTACATTCCTGAGTTGGCTTGGTACATCAGCGTCTCCAATATGCGCTCGTTCTTGATCGCCTTCGAAGGAAGAACTACCTTTATCAATTCCTGCGGTGAAATCCTATAGAGCTTCAGATCTCTCGCTAATCTTTCCATAATGCATTTAAATTCATTTTTGGCATCAGTCTTAGTTGCGGTTTTCGATTTGATTTTGTTTCGGGCCCAGCCGAGCATCGCTTCAAACTTTCTCACTTCGGGCACCTCGAGGTTTCGGCACATGATCATCTGGACCATGGATTCTGATAGATTAAGAAATTCGGGCGTCTGGAAAAGTGCGTATGCGCGTTGTTCGATAAAAGCTAGGATCATATTCACCAGCTCTGATGCTGACGTATATCGCCAATAATAGTTCTCTAATGATATAAGCATTGTGCACACCTATAATAAAGAAATGGTATAAAATTACTCATAGTTAAACGTAAAAAGTCACTATTCACGGAAATTCTGCCAATATTTATGTAAGGTAATGTAACGGTTGCTTAGATAAAATAGTACAACATATAATCAAAGTTGCTTGTGTTAACGCGACTGGGTCGATTAGGATACTGCATGTTTTATTTTAATAAACAGACTTACAAGTGATATAATATAGAAACAATTATACAATGCTAGAATCATCTAGACCTGACGCGAATGCGTGAAAGGTTCAAAATACGTTTCGAAAAGAAATTTAGGCATGTCTTGGTCACCCATAATAAGGTCAGTATTTAGACTAAAGTGTTCTGTTTGATTACTTTTCATATAAGTAGTATTTGGTATGTCGATAATCCCAACATAAACTAAACTAACCACTTCTATCCTGAGGAACTGCTTGGCGTGGTGGAAGCACGCCTGCAGCAGCTCGGGCAGGTCGTAGTGTTCGGCGGCACAGATGAGGCCGGGAATGGAGGCGCAGGTGAGCGGGCAGCTGCCCGTATGCAGGTAATCCAGCAGGATGCGGAAAGTCTCCGGGTCAAACTCGATTATCGAGAACTGGAAATAGATAGTGAAGCTTTGCACTTTTCAAAATGTTTCATTATCAATTTTAACTGAGCAGAACAGTCCAGAATTATACGTGAAAGGTGTTGCGTTATAAAAGATAGTTAGAATAACACGCAGGACAAAAGTCCATTATAATTATTATTAGTTTCAATCAGGTAAAAGAACAACTAAAACAATTTTTAATACTAAACACCGACCTCAGTCTGTGCAAGTTTGGCACGGTCAACCTTTTGTGCGTCTGCGCATACCGATAACCTCGGTACGGCTAAAGCAGCGTTTTTGTCCTTGTCTTTGTCTTTTGCTTCTTTATCTGTAATGAGATATGTTGTTTTTGTAATTTTATATACGTCCACCTTTTAGACTGTATAATAATATACAAATGAGACGAAATCAAAAGAAAAAAAGAAAGACGTGTAGCTTAATAAACTTGAAAGACTTAAGAAATGGATCGAAAGTTAGATATTGTATGGGCAAATTTGTGTGTATACAAAACATTTTTCTAGTTCTTAGGAACAAACAGATGAGAATGCAGTTGAAGAAACAAACAGAGGTAGACAATGGAATAGAAATAATATCATTAGATTATCATAATAGAGACTAGCTGTTCTCCTGCGACTCCACTTGCGTAAATTGTAGCTTATCCGCGTATGATGCTTTACCTTGTGAATTTATAATATCAGTCCAGTAATTTTGAGAAACAAACAGAGGTAGACAATGGCATATTGCATGAAAAATAACTTCCGAAACTATTTATATAATAATATAGACTAGCTGTTCTCCTGCGACTTCGCTTACGTAAATTATAGCATATGTCATCCGCGTATCATGTAGCTTTGCCTTGTAAATTTATCACATCAGTCCTGGAGGCTATTCAATGCAAACAAACAATCAAATTGTTTTTATTATTTAATCTTTTTATTATTAGTGTAGTGCCAGTTTATTGGGTTTAAATTCTTTTGTTCACAATCAATAGTGACTTTGGTCTTACGATACATACTAGAGCAGTCTTGAGAGCTGGCCCATTTCTTCTTGTCGTCAGCGTTGAGTTGTGAATGCTGCTTGCGGATAGAGCGGCCCCAGCCTGCGGTAATTGTGCCCAAGCGGGAGAACGCTCGTTTCACCATCGGTGAACTTGGAACACTTTTGGGTCTGAAAACCGAAGGAACTTTCTCTTTAAAGTTCTCTTTGCATTATTTAGAGTTTTTGGTAGTAAATTAAAAGTTTAGCTTGAATTTACTAATTTTAAATTAATATTACGACAATAATGCGGTACCTAAACATCATTTCATTATTTATGTTATTGTAATTGTATATAGGTATAGGTAGTCAAACTGTTGAAGAACCTTTCTATATCATGAGACAAGCCAGTAATTCCATAATTTTGTGTAAATAACGATAGAACTGAGGTTCTGAAACTAGGACTTTTGATAACTAAATCTGTATTATTGGAATAAAACCTGCAAGAAGCAATTCGAAATGGATATTTTTTTCATTTATTTTGATATCAAACAGTAATTTACTTAACAAATTATGTATGATTAAATGTGCTTTAAATTAAAGACCAATAGTATCTGAAAGTTAACATTTAAAAAAATAAATAATCATGAGTATCTACATGATAAGACACGCATGCGTTAAAAACAAAAACATTCAACAATAGTATGATAATTTAATAATATTCGTAATGAAAAATGCTTAAAATATTCATTTTGTCTCTGGCACCCTGAGATGGGATTCGAACCTTTCGCAATCTGGGCGACTGCTCTAACTACCTAGCTATCCAGGGTCTAATAGGCCAAATCTGGAAAAAATAATAGCAAATACAGAAGAGAGAGATGAGTTTATAAAGTATGCTTGTAGTATGGTGGAAAAAATAGCAAAGAGAAACAAATATTAAATAAATAGATATATATATACAGCATAATAATCGGTGATATTAGTATAAGTAAGTAACCTGTAATAGACAATAGCAAGTAACCTAGAATATAAGAAAATTGTAAACTAAATAAGTAAAAAATATAAATGTAATCAGAAAAGTGTAAATGTAAACTAAAATAAAAACAATATGTATAATAGAGTAAGAAAATATGTAACAGAAAATAAGAATAAGTATAAAAGAGGGAAAAAGAGCTATCCCCAAGACAACAGGCCAACCAGGTCTGTATAAAGAAAATATAAACAAGCATAAAAACTAAAAAGAAATAAAAGACAGCCTGCTCAACAGGGGGGAAACTGCTTTAAAAAAAAAAACAGGACTGACGAATTTTTCAAGCAGTTGTTACTTTAGCGCTACTACAGAACGTATTTTCATCAATGTTCAAGCAATCTACCCAAACAGCCAATTACTAGATTCGTTAAAATTAAGAATTAAACAGTTATAATTTATATTACAAACTTGTTAAGGTAATGTTTCTATGGTTTTTATAATAAAATTAAAACGATATCTAATTTATATGAACTTTAAAATGTGGTAGTAATAACTAAAAGCAAAATACATTAATTACTATCGCAAGCGACAAAAAACTCATTGGTTGTACTTATGATAAAAACTATTCCATTTCATAAATATCAACTTTATAGAAGTGACTTCAAAGTTAATAAGTAAGGAGTGAAATAAGATCTTTTCGTCCGAGTATACTGGACCTGCTCATAAAAATACACATTCGAATTATCATAGAATATTAAAATATTTATAAAATAAACTTTTAAAAGAAACATAAGAAGGAGCCAGAATATTAAATCAATGACAAATACAAATTGTATTTGGCAAACAAATAGTTAGGTGTATTAAAATTCACGCCCGAAAGCAATTTACCGTCTCAAAAATGGTTTTTATGAAAATGCTAATTTCAAAGGTTATATTCGCTGTTTGATAATCTCAAATAATATTACTATTAGATATAAAAGTTACAAATATTGTATTAAAACTTTAGTTCTAGGCTAATGATGATTCAAAAAATTTGATTTCGATTCTTTATATTAAAATTATAAAATTTATCTTAAAATTAGATTTAATTTGTAGAAGAAAGTATAGGTATTTTTTTTATATATGTATACAAGGTTAAACAAAAATCATTACGAAGCCGATTACTATGTATTCTATACACAAAAATAAGTATAATTAAAAATAATAATAACTGGGCAACGGCATAATTTTTTTATGTGAAAATTATAATAATAATTTGCGGCACGAAATGTAACGCGCACTACAAATCTGAGTAAACATTATTTCTGTGAAAGCTGTTTTAGTAATTTTTTAAATAAATTTTTAATATTCTTATAGATGCTGAACTTAACGTTTACATAAGAATATATTTTTTGATAATTTCTGTCAAAGTTTTTAGATGCTTGATTTTTATAATTTGTCTTTATCATTTGTATCTATTGTCATTTACATCTGATCCCTATATATCTATCTCGCTAATTAGATCTAGTTTTATTATATTAAAAATGTTACTTGGTGAAACTAAAGCGCTTTTAAGAATAAGAAGTGACAAATTGAATAGTTTGTGGAGTTTCATATTTTTATTTTATTTTATTACAATAACCAGCAGTATAAAAAGCAGTTTAGAAACGTAGACGACATGAAACTGACGCGAGATTCACTCGACCACTGAACAGAAACTGATTTAGACGTATGATTTCTACATAATTATTATTTGCATTTTAAATAATTGAGATGTCCGCGGAATATAATCCGCCTACTTTTAGTTCACTCAGATAATACATCTCGACCTTGCTCTCATTCCAGACACACGCAAGAATTTAAGAGACGTTACAGAATATTTTGTTATTTAATTATTCAGTGTTACCATGTGCAATAAGCATTATAATATTGGGCTTATAAATACATATATTGAAAACTTAGATAGTATTTAATCGAACACAATAGCAACGGTTAATTAATCATTACGTAGTATGTGTGGTTGTAGTCGTTCTCCTTTGTTATTGTCTGTATGTGGTGGACTTTAAATTCTTCTTAAACTATGCAACAGATTTAGATGTGGTCTTCACGTATGGATAAGAATGTTGAGGTAGGTTTATTACATGTGCTCGAACGTAAATGTTATTTGGTAATAGCACACCGTTTTATCTGAAATATTCAAACGCTATGGCATGCGTTAGAAAAATATGCCGCGCTCCGCAAAAATATGGCGGGCCCTTTCGACAAACGAAATTAGGATTCTTAAACATGCTATAACAAACTTCTAAAAGATTCTTTTCACAACTTGTTTTGTGTTAGGGGTAAGTCCAAATCTGTTAGAAGATCCGACGAATGTATAAGCAGAAGTAGGGGTTAGCACGCCCGGTAGACTGACGGAATAACCTAAGAGTGTTGTGTTGAATGTCATAATACAATTTGTCAGTTCTAGCATTTATTAAATTCTGATTAAAACTACTACTATTATGCTACACTATGTTATTTACGGGTGTTTAGAATTTTACCTTGGAAAATCTCGGGGGTACATTTCAAGTTGCTTAGGATTTGCAACTTGAAATGTATCCCCGAGTGTACATGTGGTTCCAGTATGGAGAAGGACGTGCTTTCATGACGTCTTAGGGTATCCCCTGTTTCGCATATGAATCTTCAGTTAGATGTACGCTTACCTTGGCGATTCAATATCCGGCACTTGCAGGAAGTTGCTGCTCTTCTGTCGGGCGGGCGTGGGTGAGAGGAGCGTGGGCGCGGGGCGCGCCAGCAGCTCCGCCACCGGCACCTGCGGGGAGCCAAACCCCGTCTGGATACCGTACAACATCTCCTGGAACACCCTGCAATCACACACCAATATCTTCACAATCAGCAGATGTACTCTTTAAACTTGCAGATATTTACTTAGTAGTCTTTCCAAAGTGTAAATTGCCTAGACCCGGATCTACTATTTTTATTAACCGGGAAAAAACTTTCTTTGGCATCCTTAACCTTAACGCCTTCCACTGCGCTCCATGAGGCCGGATTTTTATATCACCATATTTTTGAAGTGTATGATGATGTATGTTCACCTTAATAAGTTTTAACTATAAATAGGTATTATATAATGATGCTTTTGGCACCCCTGACACTGGCACCCAGGGCAAGTGCCTCCACTTGTCTTCCCTTAGATCCGGGTAAGTTTTTGCAAAGTTGTGCAAGTTATGATTGCTTCTAGGTACAAGTTGATCCAAAAATCACACACGTGGTTTGACTCAATTTTGACTCAGTTAGTTGATTTTTACAAAAAAAAGGGAAGTTATTTAGTAGTAGGCACTCTACGCAGTTTTTTGGTATGATATTGTGAACTTTCATCATCATTAAGCATTTTACGTCTCCACTGCAGGGCTTCCTTATGCTTGGTTAAGGAGCAGTTTATTGTGCTCTTCGACATTAAAAAATATGCGAGTCAAAGCAGGCTAGAAAAATAGATAGTATACGACAAATCGATATTGAGAGATGGCTGTTTTCAAATCGTCAAGTTTTTAAATATAACCTGATATCTTTCCAGTGCAAGTTATTTAATCATATAAATTGAGTGCCCATTAATTTCAATGCATGCTTGTGTTGTGGTTATTACCGTGGCTGTATTTTGGGTTGTTATTTATTATCCTTGAGTATTGATTGAGATGGCGCTGCGATTAGTGGATAATTATGCCACGCATTTGCGGAAGTTGAACAAGTTTTGCATAGTCCGTTATCCGACGATCAAACAAATCATCTCTATCTCCTCCGCAGTGGCGGAATAACCTCATCTGAGGCCCGAGCGGCAATAGGCTCGGATCGAATACTTTTTCCAAACAAGGGACAAACTTAATATTGATTTTACTCCCAATGCATAAACATTTTTCACTTTATTATTATATTATTTGGAGACCCCCCCCCCCAAGGTAGGAGGCCCAAGACGGACCGTCCCCTCCCCCCTAGTCCGCCAGCGCTTCTCCGTCCTACGGAAGGCAGGATCACTAGTTCAAACTTGCTTCATCTGCAATCATTAGTATCGACCAATCGGCACTAGGTCCTTGTGTTTGGTTATAGTTATTCCTTTATGATTCTATCTATAATAGGTACTCCGGTAAAGAGGATATAAGGCTGATGATAAACGTATCTTATCTTATAACAGTATTACCTGCTTCTAACTCCCAATATTGCTCTGACTCCAATGAACTTGGTCTTCTGTTTAGATTGTCCAACTAAAAATACGACGTCAAATAGTTGTGCGTTCTGCGAGGCATTCAGTTCACTATTGAGGAACACGCGGGTGAAGTCTTTTGCTAACTGATCGTAGTCTTCAAACTGGTCTCTAACGGAGTCCAGCAAAGGGGAAGACGGTCTCATGTGGCCTATGGGTCTCCATGAACCTGCAATTAGAGAGAGATTTATATCTTAGATTTATACTTAATGTTTTAGCACATTTTGTGAACTAACTAATCTACATTTAAAATGAAAACATTAATCGTCGCTAGGTCAGTTTTTGTAACTTTCACGGTTCAAGAGATCCAGATGTTCCAGTTTTACGCTTTGGGTACGGAATCCTAAAAATTAACTACAGAATAAATTTATTTTGTTAATTTGTTTGATTCGGTTCTATGTATATTTCTTCTCACATCCTCGTTTTCTATTGCCTATCATAGTAGTTTACCTGAAATTTCTCCCATAGGGAGGCCCATTATGAATTAGCATTATAAATATTAATTTCGTCATTTTAGGCGGCCGCCGAGTAGACGGGACACCAACCGCGTAACATCTTTCCACTGTTAGTGCTGATGCACGACTGAGCAATCCCGAAAATCTGTGGTTTAGTAAACACGTTTTTTTTTCCGTGCGAGTTTTCTTCCGCAATTACGGATATTCTCTTGCGACAATAATAATTCGCGCAAAATAAAATCGCGATGCTGACAGTTTCTCATACTTTTAAAGATATACCAATTTGAGATATTAAAAGACTGTCCTGAGAAGCCACGACCTTACACTGCAACCCATTAATTGTTCGCAGGACTCAGATTACGGATACTGAATTTTGATTAAGAGGTATTCTTAATCAAGTGTTCTATTTTTATTGGACAAATATTATATCTGGGTTGGTCAACAGAGGCGTGTAGGCAATTTGATACTGCCACAAAATGCAGAATTATCCAAACAATAAATTTCAGCAAGATGATATCATCACTATTATAAAACGGATGATTTGTTTCTGTATATATATTTTTTATTTATTAAATGTACCAACCTCTTCTATACGGTTTTGGTATTTGGCCCGTCTCGGCGTGGTTCTGTAGGTTTGCTACGATGTCCTCTAACATTTGGCTTCTTGTTCTTTCTTGCATTCTCGCGAATTTAGGCGCTGAATACGATGCTCGTTCTCCGTTGACTATTTTGGTCAGTAACCATTCTCTAGTAAAATAAAAAAGGACTTGATAATTTTGTTATTATACTATACGATATTTGATAAATATCCTATTTTTATCGTACAAAAAAAATTAAACTGCCTTAAGGTGCACGAGGCGGGATTGTAACATGTAATCTTTACTAATCATACGATTAGTACATAGACAGCAATACCAAATTCGCTTCCAGAGTTCAAAACGATACTGTCGAATTTCACAAGTATTATTAAATACTTTTGCCTTTGTGAGCTTTTGTGAGTACACATATTTTCGTTCATTAAATATATGTTACAAAATTTTTCTACTTCGAAAACCTGGTGTAGTTGAATTTTGCAATTAAACAGGTAATAAAATAGAATAGCAAATGCATTTACCAATTATCTATAGTATGTTGTATAGTTTCAGAAATGGACTTTTACTTTTACCGATTGCTTATCTATCTATCTGTAACTTTACGCCGTATTCCTTGCGAAATAGATTTAGCTTTTTACTAGTAATCATACCTGAACATAGGGCCCTTGTCGAAGACGCTTTGCTCCCAAAGGTAAGGCTTGTAGGCGCCGACTTCATCACGAGTCACGACCGACACTTCGTATCTTGTTGGACGACGTTTTATTTTCGCCGATACTCGAACTGAAAATAAAAAAAATATTGCCGGCATTTATATTTGAAAAATTTTGAGTTCTATATCGGCTTTGAGTGACTGGCTTAGCGTTATTATTTGGGGAGAGATTTATTACGGGGATTAAATATTAAACAACATTACATACATTGCCCAAAATTCAAGATGAGTAGCTATAAAGCCTCCGTATTATGGAGTATCTGTGACAACGAAGGTACCACAACATCCAGACCCGAGACAATATAGAAAAGTTCATTTTCTGCATTGAATCCAATCGGGAATCGGACCCGGGACCTCAGAGATGGCGGGCCCGTGGCATTTTGCCGACAAGCCACCCTGTAGTTACGGCACTGGGTAGAGATAGAAAATAAAAATCAATGTCAAATGAAGACGTACCTAAAATGAAAGTGTGTAGGAAGTGACTTTTGATGCAGGCAGGCGAGAAGGCAGTATTATCAGCTTCGAGGAAGACGACGCACACGATGTCGTTTCCTATGTGACGCTTCCTCTGCAGCTTCTGGGGATCATGCCTCTCGTAAGGCAATAATGTGGAGACGTGGAACATGATTTCGATGCTCCTCCAATTGGTGTATACAGAAAACAAGCCAGTCAAATCGTGGACGGTGTCTAAACCTCCTTTATATTTGTCGAAACCTGAAGATTCAAAACAGAGAAATTTATAAATGAAATTATAGAAAAAATACTTTAAAACAGACTTCAAATTAAAAACACTAAAAAGTTATAATAAATTGAAAATTAACTCAACGATGCGACGTAAGTACCTAGGCGGTTAGTGAAATGAGTAATTTCTTTTTATAACTCAACATATACTGATATTGCATTATTATCCAACCTTCACCAATTTTCCTAGTAGGAATGTAGGATCTTTCGTATATACAAAATCAGAATTCCACAAAATAGACTAGAAAAAGTGTATAATTTGTAAATTTCAATTCTACCATGTATGCATTATATTATTGAAGACATTTAAACCAATTTTATTTAAAATTATAGTAAAAATCTTGATTAATATATTTATTATAATATAATCGATATTGTACAAAAAAGTACACGGTTAAACGAAATTGTAAATGTGAAGGTTTCTTTGTTTGGATGTTTGTTCATCAATCACGCCGAAACTACTCAACGGATTTTGATGAAATTTGGAATACAGATAGGGTAGGATACTTTTTATTCTACTAAACATTTCCCTAGAGACAACGCGCGCGAAGCTGCTGGCGAAAGCTAGTATATAAGATTATCGGAGTGATAAGGGAATGCCTTTCAGTAGATTTAGGATAGCACTGCTTAAATGGGTTATAGAAATGGTATTCTACTCAGTCCAGGAGTTCTTGAATTATAAAAATTAATAGTATAATGTGCTGATAATTTTTATTTTATGATTATTTTGTAAACAACGAATTAATTGATATAACAACAATGTGACATTTAAATCGTAATTTATAATTAATGCTATTATTGTTTCTGACATAGTTCATATTCTTTGACATTATATTTAGTAAATCTATTTTTTTAAATACAATTTAATTAAATATTTGTATAGTAATGTACTATAGCTGCATGTGTTACTAGATTTTTCCAACTTTATATTATTTTGTACATTTTCAAACACATATAAATGATTCTAGAATAGAATCGTTTATATGTGTTTGAAAATGTTGAAAATGTTTCGGGAATTTATTTCATGGGTTTTTTATAGATTAACTTACCTTTGAGACGAACTTTTTCTCCCAGAACTTGCAAAAATTCGTCGAACATCGGCGAATTTTCATTATTGTCCAGAATTTCCTCTTCTGTGTATTGATTTTCTTTGACGTATATGACACCAACTTTCAGCTCTGACTTTATAAATACCTAGAAATAAAAAAAAAATCAGAAAAGATATTTGGACATATGATTGACTGTATACTTAGACTAACTGTTATTATTAAAACTTTATAATATGTAAGTTCTCAAAACGTATTTCAATTAAATACTCCAAGACAACAAGAAAGTAAGATTTATATCTAAATAATATATATTTATTTTATCTTTCTAGAGCATTAGTGGATTCCCAATTGAATATTTATATCACGAATCGAATAACCATTAAAGGATCTCTAGAATACACAAGCTCATTTAAATTCTATGGTGGCAGACGTAATTTGAAGTGCTCAATAATGTTTGGCCTGATTTAAATTTGTAGCTTTAACTTGATCAGGTAGAGCCACAATACTTTCGTTCCCCCCTTCGTTGAAAGCTCGAATTTCGTAACGAATGTTTACTCCATTCTTGGGGTTAAAAGCAACCTTCTAAAGTCTCGAATTACCAGGTGTCTTAGAATTATTATTATTGGAAGCTGTGGACGGAAAATTCTGAACCATAGCAAAGTGAATTGAGTTTAACAATGATTACTTTAGTAATAACAGTTTTATCAAAGGATTTATTTATTTTAGAGGGGGAAAAAAGGGTAAGTGAGATTAGAGACTGAAATTATGGTAATTGCTAATCGCGGTTTGTGTAAAAAGGATAGAAATTATACATTGTTCCTGTTCTTTACTTAGTAAACAGGTTGGGTCTATATTGTTTTAAATTTTTAAGTATAAAATTATAAGTTTAAATTTTTAATCTTTTTAATGTTCTGTGACTATTATTTCAGTTTTAATGAGAACAGTTGCTTTAGTAAATCATTTTAAACCCCTTATCTATTCCAAGATTGATTTAATCATATTTGGAAAGTAATACCTTAACTTCAACTATATTATGATATATGGCAATTATCCATTCACGCACTATAAAAACTTCGCACACAATTACAGATGTCATAATTAATTTTCTGTGTGCGTATCTTGACAACTAATATATTTAGAAATTATCAATGGAATTATTTTAAAGTTTATTTTCATCTATCCATATATATAAAAGTGAAAGGTCACTCACTCATCACGAAATCTCAGAGGTGCTAGGAGTTTCAAATTTTGCATGCGGTTTCTATTTAAGACGTAGGTGCTCATTAAGACGGGATTTTATAAAATTCAACCCTGTAAGGGGTAAATTAGGGGATGAAAGTTTTTATGGAATTATAAAATCGTATTTTCAAAAGTTGGAACTAACGATTTCCACGCCTTGAAAAAATTAAATTAACTTTAAAAAATTAAACCACTTAAGCATCTGTGTGCGTTTATGATAAAATTATCAGTTGCCTATACTAAAGCTAAGCTAAGCCATATAATCAATTAAAAGAAGATATTTAGATAAATATAGCCACGTAAAATAAAAAGAAAAGGCTCCCATATTGTTGGAAAAATTGAAAGTGAATAGCAGTGACAACACTGACGATAAAATGTCAAATTTTTATTTGTGAAAATTAAATATTTTTATTTTATAAACTTGCTTTAATTTTGATTTTATTGGCAAAAATGTTAATGACTTAAGTGTGAAACTTAATATTCTTCCGTATTATGTGTATTTGTGAGAGAGAATCGTATATTATCCACTGATTTTATTCGTTTTTGCGGAGCATTTTTTTGTACTTTCTCGGCGAGAGTTGAATGAGTATTGAAGTGAAAAACGAAAAAACTAAGAGAAACGTCTTAGTTTTAGAAGCTTCAGATTTTTGGTATGTATTGCGTATCTAGACATATTAATATCATTGTTCTAGAGCCGATAATTCTAGCACATCTCACTGTTACAATGTTATTTTACCGGGACAATGATCAATCAAGATATATCCTTATAAGATTTAGATGGATTTACACGAATTGTATACAGCAAAATGAACGTTGTGGTGAGTCATTTATTTACTTTTATCTCGTAAACTTCGAAGGAAACCATCTATCTACCTTTAACCTCTAGATGACAATAAAACTAATGTCCACTTTGCTGATTAAATTTGTTACATATAGAAATTTATTGTTGCTACCTAACACAAGTGAAAGAATTCTGCCCGCGACTTCGTCCGCGTGGACTTGGACTTAGCTGTCTGTCTGTCTGTCACCAGGCTGTGTCACATGAACCATGAAAATTGGACAGTTGAATTTTTCACAGGTGACGTACTTCTGTTCGCTCAACAACAATAGAAAAATATAAATATTTAAGGGATCTCCCGTATAACAAACGCGAGCACGTTAATCACTGCGCTATCGAGGTCTAAATAAACAAACTATAAATTAGTTACTATTTCTATGAATTACTTATGTATTTCTCTATTCAATTTAATGATCCAGACAACCAATTTCTAGCGACTTAACCCATTTCAAAGTGACATATTGTCACTTAAAATTGAACAAACACGGGTATCCACTTAGTTTTCTGATGTTGATATTTTCAGCGTAGAACAAGGTAAGTAACTGAAACGTACGTTGGTAAATCTGTATTTCGAGGATGGCAATATAGAAAATGAGTTGGTATAACAAAACGTTCTATAACAAGCATTTCCTAAAAGTAAGAGTTGTTCAAAAATATGTTGTATATTTTGCCACCCTTTTATAATGGCGGCCATCTTGAATTTGATTTTTCATGTTGTATTGTATTCTACAAGTGAAGCACCTTGATTTGATATACTAATCGGAGCGATTGTGTATGTAGGTAATAAATTAGTTTTGTGATGACGGCCATATTGGATTTCATTATTTTTTCATAGTGTGTTGAAATCTAATTTTTGTGTTGACCATTTTGGATCAATAATGTGAGCAAATTTACAAATGGGTATTAGATAATTATGTCAAACTTAAAATGTTATTTAGAATTATATAACTTATTAAGTCGCAATCGTTCTTAAAGATCGAAGAATGATTTTAATAATCAATAATCAAGAGATTGCAGTTGACATACAACTCTTTCGCTTGAATTTTTTCAATGGTTTTCAAAGATATCTGAGTCTCAAGCTTGCCTTAGATAGTTCTAATTTACTTCAAATAAACAATATCCTTCATTTAATATCGAAAGTATATGTGGCGAAAGATATATGTAAGGACTGTACATTGTGGCGTTCGGTCCTCTGCCTACCCCGCAAAGAATACGGCGTGAAGAGTTATAGATAGATAGATATTTGTTAATTTTTTATAATCTTGGATGCTGTTTATTGTAATGATATTAATATTTATTGTATACAAATATTATCTCACTTCTAGCATCTTTATTATTTATTTATTCTGCTAAATCATGAAATATGAATCTGATTAATTACCTTTTAAACTTTGAAAACTTCTGAAATATCAATGTCGAGGGGAATATTAAGTTCCCTTAATGATTTATATTGTCTAATGAAGTTGTAAGATATAAGAATTATCAATATTTAATGACATAAAAGTATATATTTTCTGTGTATATGTTTGGCTTTTCACATAATGTAAATTGTAATGTTGTATTTTAATTGACTATGTGATATAATTGATTATTAAGAATTGTAAAAATAACCTACTTGACATTGTTAAAACACTTAATTTCTTTGACATTCCTATAACGATTTGACTTGAATGATTTAGACCTTTGTATTCAATTTGAAATGTTTATTGTAAAAGACTCGTCGAGTGTAACTCTCTGTGTTATATGGCCAATAAATATTTTGATTTGATTTTTATTATGGCCTTATTTGAAAGTATGATTTTGAAAACGGAATCATGTTTGTACTTTACATAAAATTGCATGTTCGAAAAACGAGCTTAATAAATAATATTATAATTATTTGGTCTTCTGCCAACGACTTTGCCCGTGTCGATACATTTTGGTGGATTTTGTTTTCTATAAATTTTCGACCACTATTTCATTAATTATTAAGCGGAACTCTTAATGAGCGAGTTAGATTCGCTCTTGACAGTTTTCTTTTTTTCCAACCTCTTTATTTACAAGACTGTTTTTTTCTGTTAATAGCTCAGAATAATAACAAATCACTTAATAGTATTTTGTCATGTATGATCTATGAAAAGAGTATCGGATGAATGTCAAAGAATGAGACGATGGGAAAACCGCGATTAGTTACGCGCATTTATTTTTACTTATTTCGCGAAGAAGTTTAAAAGATACAATTACATTCATTTTCACTTACCTAGAACAAGGCGTAGCTTAACTAGCTATGCCTTGCTAGCTTAACTAACGCCAAATATTGCGCCTTCTAAGCAGATTAGTTTAATTTCATCTTCCCCTCTGGACGTGATTGTTGATGGACGTGTGTGCTGCTCGTTCCATTAAATTGTATAAATCAATTGTTTACGAAAATAAACGGAATATATTAAGTTTAAATTTTGGTGGATTTGAACTGGTGATCTTGTGTGTGCGAGCTGAAGTGTGGTGCGATAGGCCACCAAAATGATACTCGTCACGTTAGAATTAAGCAACGCTATTGGAGGTCTGCTACGACATAATAGTGCCACTTACTACGAGTAAACCAACGAGCTACGTGTGCTACGATCACCTTGTGCTGCTACGAGTTTCACCTGATAAGTACAGTAATTTTTTGCTAACACAATGGATAATATACTAGACAAATCGGCATCTGATACTGAGATAAATTTAGCGGGAAAATGCGTAACTCCTCCCAATTTTATTTTTCATCGAAATAAAAGGCCGAGAGAGGAAGGCGAAACTTCATTTGCTTCTCAGTTTAAGGAATTTAAAGACGAAATGCGTAATATGTTGACTTCTTTTGTAAACTCTCAAGGAAATGAACTAAAGCGATTAACAACCGCACTGAAAGAAATACAGCAATCTAACACTAGCATTGAGAAATCCATTGCCACTCTTGCTGCTCAAAATGAAGAGTTACAAAACAAAATTGTATACCTTGAAAAGCGACAAAAAGAGGATAAAAAGTATATTACAGTGTTAGAGGACAAAATAGAAGATATACAAAACAACAGTCGAAAACAGAATCTGGAAATAAAAAACGTCCCAATTAAAACAAATGAATCCAAAGAAGACCTCATTGATATGATTATGTGTTTGTGTCAAAATATAAATTGCAAAATCAGTAAATCAGACATAAAGGACCTCTACAGAGTACGTAAATATAAAAATAATTCAAATAAACAAAATACTTCCTCAATAATTTTAGAAACTTCTTCTACCCTAGTAAAGACCGATATTTTAAAAATGGGAAAAGCTTATAACATAAAACAGAAGACTAAGCTACGTGCCAAGCATTTAGGGTTCAAAACCGAAGAAGAAACTCCCGTGTTTTTATCAGAACACTTGACTGCAAAGGGAGCACGTCTCCATTTCTTGGCCCGAGACCTTGCCAAATCAAAGAACTACAAATTTTGCTGGACTGCTTATGGCAAGGTGTATGTAAGGAAGAACGAAAATACCAAGGTCATACTTATCACCGAAGAGTCACAGATACATAAACTCCTGCTGGAAGAATGACTAGCATATTATAAATATTTATACATTACTTACACTAAGAAATTGTTAATAACATTATCATCATTGCATATTACATTTACACTATATTTACTAACAACAATGTTCAAGCTCGACATGGATAACTCATATTACACACACACATTACTACACTTAAACAAAAATTACAGTCATTATCTATATATATACAAGTATGATCTTATACTTTTATTTATATATCTACGAATAAATAGAAATATTCATGGTAGGCATATAATGGTACCTATTATAAGAGATATTGAGATTCTACTCCTCTACTTAAACCAATATAGCAGAGCCAATTATAAACAAAGAAAATGTGATCTTTGTGTATATGGTATTATTGCAACACTAGAAAATATTTTATTTAAAACGCCCCACAATATAGTCTCTGAAGTTTCTTTTAAGCATTACCATGGACGATTCACTTACCATATTACATGAAATAG